AAGAAAATAAGAAATATGCCACAGGAATACTATTATGATCCTCATCAAGTACCAATAATGCGAATAAAAGTATTCTATTATCACAAATAGTGAACGTTCCATCAAATATCAAAAGATTCTGATGACCATATTTCCACGCAAATTCTCTTTGCTCTAATGTTGAAAGTCCAATTTCAAGTCTATCATGTTCTTGTGTTCTGGGTTGATAATGAAAACATGAGTTTCGTATCAATGAATCACTATCTCCCTTTAAAAAAAATATGTCTAATAAACTGGAATCTACTGGTTGTCGCATATTAATGTCTAACTTTATTTTTGTTATCTCACCCATCATACTCGATATATCTGATGGACTAATCAACAACCTATAATCTTCAAAAATAACTAATCCATTACAGTTATTTTGAACAAATTTTTGATTGTCCTTCATCACCCATTTTGTAGGCACATATGATTTTAATAAATCTGACGTAATCTCTTTAATCATAGGATGAAGTTGTAAAATAGTTGTTTCAGAAACGTGCGACTCATCTTGTGACACAGCCGGTAACGGTGTTGCTTGTGACGAATTCTTTGGTGTATCTATAATTTCTAAAGGTTCGACTACTTGTGGAATAGTTTTATCGGATTGAACGCACTCATTCACATGTTCAAAATATCCCATAATTTTTCCGTAATGGTTCGTTGATTCATTGATTGTAATTTCCGCAAAGGCCAAACACCCAAAAAATTCAAAATTTTGTCCGCTTATGCCTGTATTTTTATCATTAGAATTTTGGGTAAAAATACCACAACTACATTGACATAAAATTTTCCGTATATTAGTATTATCGTTATATTTATAGCTTATGACCCATTTCGAATTCGTTGAATTCGTTAAATTCGTTGAATTCGTTGAATTCGTTAAATTCGTTAAATCCGTTGAATTCGTTGAATTCGTTAAATTCGTTGAATTCGCGTTAGAAACTATTAAATCCAAAAGCATATGAGACCGTAGAAATTGGTTTGCCTCTTCTTGTTGTTCTGGTGTCCATGATATAATTGTAATCTTATCATTCGTTAAAAGCTCATTCAAAGGCAGTCTTTGGACATCATTCAACAACAAATTCGAATCTATAGATATTTTTTGTTCATCCATTCTTCTATTCATTAAATTTACAAAGGTTGTTATTATTAATTTATAATTTTAGCTTATATAACATTTCTTAACTTATTCATTACCTTTTTTTAAAGTTATTGATATCAAAAGTTGAATCGTCACGTCGAATACGTAAAAATTATATTTAAATCGGATAAAATAA